AGTATCATAAATGTGAGGGCATATTTCAAGACTCTCAATATATTTCATTGATCAATATGTACGACAGTACCACACTGTTTTGATTACTGTAGCTTTGTAATAAGTTTTGAAATTGGGAAATGTGAGTCTTCCAACTTGTTTTTTTCTCTTTAAGACTGTTTTGATTGTTGTGAGTCCCTTGAATTTTCATACAAATTTTGGAATGATCTTGTCAAATTTCTTTAATGAAGCCAGCTGTGATTTTGAGCTGAAAATTGCATTGAATCTGTAGATCAGCTGAAGGAGCATTGCTATGTTAACAATAGTCTTTGTCTTCCAATTCATGAGTATGGGATGCATTTTAATTTATTTAGTTCTTTCATAATTTATGTCAACAGTGTTTTACAGTTTTCACAGTATTTTACCCTTATTTTGTTGTTTATTTCTAAGTATTTTATTATTGTTTATGTAATTGTAAATAAAATTGTTTTCTTAATTTAATTTTGGTTGGTTCATTGCTACTGTATAGAAATACAATTGATTTTTGTATATTTATCTTGCATCCTGCAACCTTGTTGACCTAATTTGTTAGTTCTGATAGTTTTAAAAATGGCTTTCTTAGGGATTTCTATGTACCAGATTATATCATCTGTGAATTGAGATGGTCTGATTTTTCCTTTTCAATCTGGATGCCTATTATTATGTGTTCTTGCCTAGCTGTCCTGCCTGAAAATTATAACTTCTTAAAATAATACTATAGACTGTAGCTTTTTTTTTTTCTTTTTTTTTTTTACTTCATGACCCTCACAAGCTCTTCATTCCTAAATGCTATGATGGGGCTGAGATATCATCCTGGGATCTATTTCCAAGCCATAAGGGGCAAAACTTAGGAATATAGGAAAAAGGAAAAGAGCTAGGAAAAAGAAAGAGAAGCAAGAGAAAAAAGTAGTTGGAGGATGAGGAGAAGAAAAAGGACAGAGAAAACAAAAAGGTAGCCCTTGGGCTGAAGGCAGCCTCCCTGAGCTCTATGAAGGCAGTAGTGACAGAAATGAAGCTGTTAGTTTTTATGGGTGACCTTCTTGCCACCAGGAAAAGTAGGAAATGATGGTAGATCTTAGTGAAGGCTTTCATTTCCTTTATGTAAGGTAGAAGAATATCATTTTTTTTTTAATGTAGGGCAGAAAGCTTTAGAGAAAATAGCATCAGGTTGGCAAATGATGTAACACAAGGTCCCAGGAAAAAAGCAGCAATGCTTTTCTTTGGTAGTGGGCCTGAAATGACTTTGAGCCAGGACTGAGAGGGTGAAGCACTGTTTGTGTTGCTGCTCTTCCTTGGCCACTGGTGAAGATCTGGGTGTAAATGAGGGGTAGCAGTGAAAAGGCAACCAACCATTTTAATCTAAATGGCCCTACTCCAAATGTTGCTGTTTGCCAAGGACCAAAAGTAGCCATGAAGATTACTGATTTCTGATTAATTTGTTCAATCTCTGGGTGAGAGTGCATATTTTAAATTGGATAAACTGAGAGTAGTTTGTTCTAGGAAAAGATTAGCATCTGAAAGAAAAATTATTCTTCAGAGGATTGGGGGTTATAAGTAAATATCTTTGGGGTCCATGACTTTTTGAAGAAAATTAATCAGAAAATGTGCATATCAGAATGCAGACAGCAAACAGCCACGAACTGTGTCACTTCTGGAATAACAAAAGGCAAACAGGACCTTAAGGAAATGGGCTGGTTTAGAATTAAGAATCACTGAGCCCATTTCTTTCAGTGATTAATGATGAATCACTGTTTAACTTTGGATGAAATAATAGGCTGCATCTGAGAAGCTTCATTAATCATCATAAGAATTAGGCTTGTGCCAATTCATTACTGCAGGGTTGACATGTGCTGAACAGTTGAGCTGAATTTCAGGAAGGGGTAAACTTTAGGCAAGAGCTTGCTTAAAAGAATGCCAACATTAGGGGTCTATTCTTGCCTGGATGGGTGGGGATTTGTGAGTAAAGAATACATTCTAATGTATCATCCCTCATCTGGAAGCCTAACAAAACACCAACTACAAAGTCTTTGGCTTTTTGGTATTCAGGGTCATGATACTATGATAACTAACGTGTCATAAAATCTGATACTTTTATCTGTTCTTCACTTTGCATGTTTCCTTTATTCAGAAGGTGATTAACAATCTACCGGACATTTGGATTTCAGCAGGCATGAAAATAAACAAATTTAGCTCATTGTTCTTCTTTGAAGAACAAAATCATCTTTGCAAAATCCTAGAGAAAAAGCTTCCTTAAAAACTTGTTAATATAGATAATGAAAACCTGAGCTATAGATAGCAAAAGAAAAAACCTGGTTCATACAAACAAGAAATCAGGCTAGATTCATCATTTGGCCAACTTCAAATACCTTGAGCTGAAATAAGGGTTAAAAAGTTGTTCCAACAGATTTAAACTGATGCTACAGAGATATATAGGGAGCATGTATGTCTCTCTTGCAGTAGCCAGTAGTGATGGGAAATCCAAGAGAATTTCTTGTAGTCCTTAACTTCAACAGACGTAATTTTGATAAAGTAGGAGAAACATTCACCCAAGCTAAGAAAGATGTATATTGTTATGTCTTAATGCTTATTTAGGTTTAGTAATCTTTAAGAATCATGAATCCATTCACATCATTTGGAAACTTGGCTTGTTTTTTATAATACATTTTTCCCCAAATCAAAAGTATATGGATTTTTTGAAGGAAAAATCAAAGACTGGATCAAGATATTAAAATCTCATTTTTCTTTTTTTTTTTTTTTTGAGACGGAGTCTCGCACTGTTGCCCAGGCTGTAGTGCAATGGCGTGATCTCGGCTCACTGCAATCTCCACCTCCTGGGTTAAAGCAATTCTTCTGCCTCAGCCTCCTGAGTAGCTGGGACTACAGCTGTGCGCCACCCGCCCAGCTAACTTTTTTGTATTTTTAATAAAGACGGGGTTTCACCATGCTGGCCAGGATAGTCTTCATCTCCTGACCTCATGATCCGCCCTCCTTGGCCTCCCAAAGTGCTGGGATTACAGGCATGAGCCACTGTGCCCGGCCCAAATCTTTTTTCTAAAATTTACTTTTTTAGAGACCAGGTCTTACTCTGAGGCATAGGCTGGCCTCAAACTCTTGGCCTCCAGTGATCCTCCTGTCTCAGTCTCCCAAGTAGCTGGGACTATAGTGTGTACTACTGTTGTCAGCTTACATCTGTTTTGCTTTATATATTTATTTGACAGTCTCACTCTGTCGCCCAGGCTGGAGTGCAATGGCGCGATCTCAGCTCACTGCAACCTTTGCCTCCCAGGTTCAAGCAATTCTCCTGCCCTAGCCTCTCAAGTATCTGGGTTACACACACCCACCACCACGCCCAGCTAATTTTTTGTATGTTTAGTAAAGACAGGTTTTGCCATGTTGGCCAGGCTGGTCTCAAACTCCAGGCCTCAGGTGATCCACCTGCCTCTGCCTCCCAAAGTGCTGGAATTACAGGCCTGAACTACCATGCCCAGCCACATCTGTTTTACTTTAAAAGACTAATTAAATTTGAGATTTTTAAAATATAGACTTTCTTGAAGTGATGTTCATTAGTATTCATAGGAGAAAAAGAGTGAACTGACTTTGAAAAACAAACTTGACTCACTTAGAAGTACATGTAAAGCTATTGGTTATAGCTTACACACATACACACACATGCACACACAATTTCACATAAAGCCTCTATTATTGAGATTTAATAGCTTTCTGATTTCTCTGACCCCAGGTTCTTTCTCATTTAGTCCATTTTTTTCATACCTATCAAACAGAACTTCTTTAAACAGAAACTCATCTGACCCTGCCTTACTTAAAACCCCAGTGAGGGAAACATTAATGATTCTCAGCTCTTAGGGCTCAGGTTTCTCAGGTGGTGGAAGTGGAGAACACGGCCAAGGGCAATGTGTGGCCAGGGACATGGGGCCTTCCACACACCAGGCACTGTCTGTGCCCTGAATAAGGCCTCACAAATACTTGTAGAGATTGTCATTTGTAAATAAGTAAATTAATTTCAAGGCATGTATCATTGTATTCTCTTTTCATACGTATTTCCTTAATCATAGGATATTAAAAGTACAACCTGTTAGGGAAGGAGGTCCCTGAACATTTTTTTTTTTTAACTTTAAAAAGGGATTCTCCTACTCCTGAAACTTAGGAATTACCAGCTATAAGATAAAGGACAAACTTGTCATGGACTGCGACCCATCACAGCCCAAATTGGCCCCGTTGAACACAACTCTTCCCATTTCAATTGTTCTCCCGCCCATGCCTGCCCTGCTGCATGGTCTGCTCCCAGGGATCCCTCGGAAGCCGGAGGCCGGAAGCCAGTGGTTGTTCCGACTTCCTTTGCTGTGCCATCAGCACTCGTGTGTTCATGCGTGGTGCGGCATGTTTCCAATCATGCCGTCGTTATTTGCCTGAATACCCCCCTAGACTATGGGCAGGTTACGCCATGCCTTTCTCCTCAGCTTCCTCCCTTTGCTTCTTCCCTAGAAGAGCCCTTTGTAGGCTCTCAGTTAAGGTTTCTTTAATTGAACTATATTTTAAAGCACGAAGCCAGTGCCAGAATTTTAAAGCGGCAGGAGAAGGCCATAAATGGAATTCTCTAAAAAAACAAACAGGAAGCAAAACAACACACAAGCACACACTAACTACAGGTGGGTGGCTCACTGTTGATTTTATCAGCCAAATAAAAGATTTACAAAACGTTGAAGAGATGGAGCAGAGGAATGAAAACCTGATATTTAAAGAAATGTAGAATGAAATCTAAGGCACATTTTGGAAAGCTGGGACAGAAAAACAATCCTGGAACAGGCTTTCATACACAAGCTGTACTCTAGGGAGGCAAACAATAAGGCATAGGAGGATTAGAGATGAGGAAAATGAGCACAGAGTCCAGGCCTGCCCAGTACACCACAGGAGGAGTTGCTGGCACCTCCATGCAGGTGGGGGAGGGTGCTGTGCCTTTGAGCCTTGGGTAAGTTGACAAACAGCGCAGGTGCAGGTGGCTTGGACCAGCTACATGGAAACCCACAGAGATGTCTGGATTTTGTTCCCCTGCATTCAAGGAGACACAACTACGGAAATTTTGCTGGATAAACTCCAGGTAGTGTGAAGCTTCTAGATAAGAGTCAGTCCAACTCTGCCTGGAGGCTCTAACCAATATATTGAGATGAAAAGATGGGGCTTACCATATCTGGAGGCGGGCAAGCAGAGGGCCAGGTGCCCAGTGCTGGGTGGAATGAATGCATGAACAAGGAAAGGGTGAACGTACAGCTATGAGGTTCCATATGACAACCTGCCTGCAGGGAGTGCTCAGGCCATGGCAGTTCCAAATTCCAGAGAAGGTGGTGTCGGAGGGCTGCATGGAAGCAGGTAAACTGCCACACTCTTCCTTCTCCCGTACATAATCCTGATGGATTTTAGACGCTTCCATTCATTTTATGTCCTCATTACTCTGACTGGGAAAGCAGACTTGATATAAACTAGAACAATTTGAAACTATAAGGATTGGTTTGCAAATTAGAGAGAGTGAGAAATTTTCTGTCTAAAGCCTGGACAGAATTAATGTCTGAAATTTTCTTGCTCACTGCCAAATCGAATTAAGTAATGTTCTTAGTTTATTAGAACATTTTAGTTGGTTTGGGCTGCTGCAACAAAATTCCACTGGGTAATTTATAAACAACAGAAATTTACTGTCCACAGTTCCAGAGGCTGGCAAATCCAAGATCAAGGTGTCAGTAGATTCGGCGTCTGATAAGGTCCCATTCCTTAATATTGGCATCTTCTAGCTGTATCTGCACATTGGTGGACATGGAGAACAAGCTCCCTTAAGCCTCTTTTAGAAGACACTAACGCCCTTCATGAGGGTGGAGCCCCCATGATCTAATCACTGCCCCCAAAATCTCTACTTCTTAATACCGTCACCTTGGGTGTTAGGTTTCAGCATAAAAATTTGGAAGGACAAACATTCAGACCATGGCAAGGGTTAAATTGGAGATGGCAGATGGTTCTCCGCAAAGATGAGCATTGCTGCTTCTTCATCTGTGTGTTCCCATTGCATTACTAAGCACAGCACCTTTGTTTGTTGAAATGAACTGAAATGTCACCTGAGCTGCTTTAAAAATATTTTCTCCATTCCTTGCAGTTTTCAGAATTCAAATTATTGGCTTTTCCTTTGGATTTGGTGAAATTGTGAATCAACATATTTTTATGTTCTCTGGTTATTTATCAGCTGAAATTTAATTCATTCAACAAATATTTATTGAGTGTTTACATGAGGCACTATTCTAGGCACTTGGGATTCATCAGAAAAAAAACATAAAAATGGCCAGGCATAGTAGCTCATGCCTGTCATCCCAGCACTCTGGAAGGCTGAGGCGGGTGGGTCATTTGAGGTCAGGAGTTCAAGACCAGCTTGGCCAACATGATGAAACCCTGTCTCTACTAAAAATACAAAAAAAATTAGCCAGACATGGTGGCACATGCCTGTAGTCCCAGCTACTTGGGAGGCTGAGGCAGGAGAATCACTTGAACCCTGGAGGTGGAGGTTGCAGTGAGCCAATATTGCGCCACTGCACTCCAGCCTAAGCGACAGAGTGAGACTCCATCTTAAAAAAAAAGAAAGAAAGAAACCCATTAAAAAAATGCCCTCATGGATCCTATATTTAGTGCAACAAAAATCTGCAACATTAGTTGCAAATATATGGTAACAGCTGGATTTCCCTTGTACAATGAAATTAGTGATGTTTAAAAGGCACTTTTCTATGCCATTCATTATTGTTGACAACTAGTTGATTTTGCAATTCTGGTATCCAAAAGCTCTAAATGGCTCCATAGATCTCTGTTTCAATCTATTCCAATTTCTGTCTGTTTCACTCTTTCTCTATATGTCTATGCACCCTGAGATAATATGTGTATTCTTAACTATATTTGGAAGGAAGGATGAAAGAGACATATATTATTTGGTAATACTTTCATGTGTAAGACTAAGTCAGTCTATTAGGGCTTCCGAGAAATCTCTTAAGACCCAACCAGGCTAAATATGAATATTAATCCAAGTGTTGGTGTTTCATTCTGACATTATTGTTTCTTCCAGTTAGAAACTTTTCACTCAAAATTTCACTCATATTTATGTCTCCTTCTATCTGTGATTACAAAGCTTATCCCCAAGTCTGGGCTTAACATTTCAGAAGGCTCTCTTTTCTTTACTGAGACAGATGACTCTCCCATTGAGTCAGGGGCCTGTGAGTATTCTCAGTTCAGCCCTCATATTTAAGACTGCACTCTGTTGGTTCTAAGCTGCGTTGCCTTAAGCAGGACAACAGCCTTCCCTGCAAGCAGCAGAGAGCATTTTACTTGGCCAGATGCCCGATGGAGGGAAAGGGGTGAGGAGGGATTTTTCCCATCCGTTTTGGGGTTCACATGTATAATTTTCTACTTGGGGTTTCTCACCCTTGACTAAACGCTGGCTGAGGACCTGGTATGATGGGGAGAGGGATTTGAGGGGTCCCATTTGGAAGGGCTGGCAGAGGCTGCTGTGCATTCTGTCTGGGGATAGGGTGATACTCATGTCCACATTCTGCTGCTTCTAGTTACTTCTGTGTGTACTTCTGTTTTTGTTTCATTTGCAATGTAAGGAAAATGCTACTCTTAAAAAGTTGTTCCAAAGTCTAAATGAAGTAATTTCCATCAAAGGCCCTGGCACCTGTGAAGTGTTGGAGCAGATGGTGCTGAAGCTCCACCTAGGGTCACCAAACTTAGCACTTAAAAATACAGAACACTCAGTTAAATTGGAATTTCAGATGAAGAAGAAATGCTTTTTAGCTATAATGCAATACATAAATATAATCAAATATGTTATACAATGGAATATATAATAACATAAATATTTATAAATTTAAATACTTTAGTATAAATATTGCATGGGGCATATTTATACTAAAAAATTATTTATTGGTCATCTGAAGTTCAAATGACAACTCTAGCTGCTGTGGTTTGCATGTTCCCTCCAAAACTCAGGTGGAAACTTAATCCCCAAAGTGTCAGTATTGAGAGGTGGGGCTCTTGAGAGGTGATTGGATCATGAGGGCTCTGCCTTCATGAATGAATGAATCCATTCATGGATTAATGGATTACGGGTTAATGGATTAATGGCTTATCACGGGAGAGGAACTGGTAGCTTTATAAGAAGAGGAGGAGAGGCCTGAGATAGTATGTCAGCACTCTCAGCTCCCTCACTGTGCGATGCCCTGAACTGCCCCAGGACAATCCCTTCAAACAAGAAGATGCACCTCCTCAACCTTGGACTTCCTAGCCTCTAGGACTGTAAGAAATAAATTTCATTTCTTATAAATTACTCAGTGTCAGGTAGTTTATGAAACAGAAAGCAGACTAAGACACTAGCTTGACTCATCCCCTTCTCTGGGCCTGTGCACTGACTCCCAGCTGCCCTGAGTGTTGGCTCCTAATGGTGCACAGTTGCCCCTTTCTGTTGAGGCCTTGGCTGAATCTGAGCTGCGTCAGTTGGGAAATTAATCCCCCTCCCACCACCAGTGGGATCAGTCTATAGTCCTGACTGCCTGGTAGGGGGGCAGAAAACATCAGCTACCTTTTCTCAAGGAGGGACAAACTCTGTGTGCTGTTAGGGAGCTGCCCTGAGAACCCAGGCTGTAGCTAGACTCCAGTCAAGATCACATCCTGCCAGCATTCTTCCCTTGCTTTCTCCCTTCCCTCTCTTCCTTTTTGAGACAGCTTCTTCAATTATTCCTCATCTCCAGTTTTGTCTTAGATTGAAACCCAGTCTAAGCAGCAATCCAGCATCAATGTGGATTTTTACCCCCTCCCTATGATTAAAACATTGTGAGGATCTTTTAAAAAGTGAGATTAAAAATTTTTTTAAATTTAATTGTGGTAAAAACCATGCAACCATCTTAACCACTTCTAAATGTACAGTTCAGCAGTAAGTATATTCACACTGTTGTGCAACCAAACTCTAGTCTAGAACTTTTTCATCTGCAAAACTGACACTATGTACCCACTAAGCAACAGCTCTCCATTTCCTGCCTCCCCTACCCCCTGGCAACCACCATCCTACCTTCTGTCCCTAGAAATTTAACTACTTGAATTATCTCACATAAGTAGAATCATACAGCACTTGTCTTTTTGTAACTGGCTTATTTCACTTAGCATAATGTCCTCAATGTTCATCCATGTTGTAGTCAGAATTTTCTTCCTTTTTAAGACAGAATAATATTACCTTGCATGTATAGACCACATTTTGTATACCTGTTCATCTGTTGATGGATATTTGGGTTGTTTCTACCTCTTGGCTACTGTGGAGAATGTTGTTATGAAAATGGTGTGAAAATATCTCTTTAAAATCCACTTTCTCATTTTTTGGATATATGCCCAGAGATTGTATTGCTGGATCCCATGGTAATTAAATGTTTAATTTTTTGAGGAAACTTCATACTGTTTGCCATACTGGGTGAACCATAAGTAGGAATTTCTGAAAAAAATCCAATAATGCTTAAGAGAGTCATTGGATTCATTTATCAGATACTGATATATGGCTTCTACTGTGCGAAATACTAGAAAATTCAAACACATAAAATCATAATACTTTATCAGATTATAATTCCTCTTTTAAATGACAGTTTATTGCAAAAACAAGATGATCTTCTTTCTCCAAAAGGAGGAAGAAATGGGTGTCATTTTCCCTAGAAAGGGATGATGGGTCAATATTTTCTTTGATTTGTTCTTGGTTTATACTTTTGATATAGGTAGACATGCTAAATTATCCTTCAGATTTGGCACAAAACAATTGGAAATGGAAAGGAAACTGGAATCAGCATCGATTTGTGATTTAATCTTTCACATTTAAATTTTAATTCAATTGAGACTTATTTTAGTTAGCAAGTAGCTCCGCCTATATTTATTGATCATTTCCACACTGGTTGGAATGCTACCTCTATCACATATTCGTTTAAATATGGCCTATTTCTGGTCTTCTGTTCTGTTCTGTAAATCTTTCTGCCTCGTTCTCTGCTACTAGTATACTGTTTAAATTACTGTGGCTTTGAAACATATTTTAGAATATGGGAGAACATGGTTTTCTTTAGTACCTTCCTTAAAAAGAACTATTGACTATTATATAGTCCTTCTGCCAAAAAGTTTGCCATTTCTATAGATTTAAAAATGTTTCATTGAAATTTTAATTGAAGTTGTATTAAACTTATAGATTGTTTTGCAGAAAATCGGCATTTAATTTTGCCAGAAGATCTCTCCAATTCAGAGTCTTCTTTTAGTAATCCTCTTTTAGGAAACTTCGGCAAAGTATTTTTCAAATCAGTACTGCAGAATTCTTGTTGAATATCCCCTAAGTATTTAATTTTTTTGTTTGCTAAACAAAAGAACATGAATAGCTAAACAAAAGTTGTGAATAAGATCTTATATTTCAAATGACTGTTGCAAAGAAGCAAAAGAAAGAAATAAGCATGATTTGTATTCTCACCACCCATAATCACTGTTATTATTTCAAAGTTCTTCATGCTACACACAGACACACACACACACACACACACACACACGCACACACACACACACACAGAGAGAGAGAGAGAGAGTTTATATTTTTTCTCTGACTATATGTAAAGTTCTAAAATAAGGCCTACTTGATGGTGGTGTATTAGTCTCACTAACATATGTTAGATTAAATTTGCTGACATTTTATGTAAAATTTCATGCATTTCTACTGTAGATGAGGCCATTTCTACTGGCCTATCATTTTCTCTCTTTTTCAGCATTTGTAAGATTTTATATCAGAGCCCTGTTATGTTGATAAAACAATTGTGAAGCTTTCCACATTTTAAACAGTTTGGAACAATTCAAATAGGCAGCAAGATTACTTTTTTCTTAAAGGTTTGACATAATTAGATAATTAAAGCCTGTAGGTGAATACCACATGTGTATTTTTGTAAAAGATTATAAATAAGGTATTTATTGCCTCACTATTCCAGTAGATATAGAGCAGAGATCAGTAAGAGAGATTCTAAAAGGTCTGAAAGGAGGAGGAAAAAGAGAACTTGATACTTGATTGAACCCCAGACTGGAAAAGCAAAGGGACTTGTAAACTTCGGGGTTGGGTTTATGTCCTTGTGCCACCAGCAGATGACATTGGTCTCACCTCTATAGTTTCCTTTTTTAAAATCCGTAAAATGGGAATAATAATGACAACCTACAGATAAGTGATAACTGAATCAGCTATTTCTGTGGGAATCTTTGGGAAGCTCTGGACACATGTGGAAGGTTTTGGATGCTTGGTGCAGGGAGTAGTGCAATTTGGGAGGATATCTCCCCTCAACCTTCACTTCTGTATTGACTGCATTGACTCTGGCATCTGGAGCATTGGAAATTGTGGAGGAGGAGGCGGCCCTCACTGTGGCTATCTACGGAGGCAGCCTGAGGCTCCCTGTGTGAGAAGCAGAGCTGCAGAGAAGCAAGGTGGCCACTCCTGGTGACTGAGCTGGCAATTTGGCCCTTGGGCACATGGGGACATGGCCGGGGATTTTCAGAAATACATGGGACGGGGTGCTGTGGGGTGATGCAGGGAAGTGGAAGTTTTGAGAACAGCAGAACCAAAATAGAAAAGTGGGTTAATGTTGTAAAAGTGACCTGCTATAAACCCATAGGCTGCTGAGTCCTGGAGAATGTCCAGATGAACAAAATTCATGTTTTGAGTGGTGCAGATGGGTCAAACAACACCGGGAGCAGAAGGAAGGAAGATACTAGTTACTAACCTAGTAACTTTTGAGGTATGTGGTGGTGAGCAGAGCCATGTCGAAGAAGCCTGCTTTAGACTTGAACTTGGTAATCCATCTGCAGGAAGCCGGCATCTTGTTGCATTATCCAGGAAGTGACCTAGCTGCTCATAGTTCACTCCTATGCAAAAGAGGAAAAGGACTAAAAACCAAGTTGGACCCAGGAAGTTTTTTAAGAGTGCAAGTTTCAGGGTCAGCAGCCATGCCATGTAGTGTCACCTAGAAAGGATGGCTCTGCTCACAGCACCTGCACTGGCACCCAGCCATAAGTCCTATCCTACCATGGGTCCTGGCTGGGTAATAAATTTAATTAGTCACCATACCCAGCTAATTAATTATTATTTTTTTTTTTTGGTAGAGACGAGGGTCCCATTGTATTGCCCAGGCTGGTCTCAAATCCCTGGCTCAAGTATTCTTCCCACTTGCCCTCCCTACGTTTTGGAATTACAGGCTCAGCCACTGCACCTGGGCCTGGGTATATTCTTTACATCTGAAGACAGCTGACTTTTTATGTAAAGAGCCAGGTAGTAAATTCTTTAGGCCTTGTGGCCCTGTATCAACTCTGTCCTTGTCTTGAGAAAGCAACCACAGATGATATGTAAATGAATGATGGCTGTGTTCTAGTAAAACTTAATTATGGACATGAAATTTGAATTTCAGACAGTTTTAATGCATGAAATATTATTCTTCTTGTGGGTTTCTTTCAGTCATTTAAAATGTAAAAACCACTCTTAGCTTGCAGACCTTACAACAGGTGGCGGCCTATAGTTGCTTTACTCATACAAAAGATCCACTTGCTTTATGAACCACTATGTGGTCCCTTGGTGGGATCAGTCCCACCCATAGACGTGAAAGTAAACAGCAAAGGATGTTGATGAAAATTCAGTAAAGCATCACCTGCCCAAATTGCCCAGAAAACCCTAAAAATTTTGAGCCAGCTGGTCTTCTAGACAAATGGTCTCAGGTAGTGACTTTAACAGAAATGATGTAATGAAAGACCAGGTTCCTAGATAAAACCACTCTTGCCATTAATGAGAAAACACAACTACAACTATCAGTAGTTTATTATGTTGATAAATTAATGTTTACCAGCCAGCTAACTACTACACTACATTTCTTTCCCTTTGAGCAAGATGGTGAAGCTTTCATCTAGTACATGATTGTGAGGTTAAAAAACATCACTGCAAGCGAAACGTATTTACCAAGGGTTCTAGAATGGCCAGAAGAATTCTTGATGTATTAAATATCCTATAAACATTTAACGAAAGGGAATGGAAATCTTTATTTTAGCCCTCTCAAATCTCAAGTTTCATCTTTTGTTTCTGCACTTACATTCTCAAGTCACTCAGTACATACCACTCTCCCTCTATTTTTTTTGAAAACCCAAACAAAACAAATATAATAACAAAAAGCTTCCAGTGTCTTCTTATTAGTATAAGATGTCACTGGAAGATCAGAAAAAGCTCCTTAAGCTCTGAAAAGTACCATACAATTTTCTGCGTTGTCATTTTCAATCACTGAAGGTACATAGAAGCTGGACTTTTGTAAGTTCCAAAAATGATTGTATAATTTTCTCCCCAGCAGACATTTTTGGAGCCATTTCTTTGTAGAGGAGACATTAAAGCATAGTGTTCAAGGGCATAGATTTTAGCAAGACAGAGGCCTAGGCTCAAAATTCAGTTCTGCTATGTACCACATGCAATTTTGGACGAATTACTCTAAATCGCAGTGTTCTCATAAGCAAAACGAGGTTGATGACAACCATCTCTCCCTGTCATTGTGAAACAAAATGAGTATGCAAATCATTTAGTACAAAATCTAGCACATCGTAAGGGTTAAAAAATGTCAGCTCTTAGTTTTTTACCTGTTGGATTTACTCTGTGTTGTGCGTGCATGCACGTGCATGTGTGAATGTGTGTATCTGTTTGCGTGTATTGGAATATGTTCCAGGAAGAATCATTAAAACGTGTGTGTCTCGTGACACAGATGGGTATAAAAATGTTCTGGGGGTTAAAATTATCATACAGACTTTATGTCTCAATCGATCAGGTTTTTGCAGAAGACTCAAATCCTGAGTGAACAGATATTGTGGCCTGTGAAATCAAAGAGAGATGCTGAACGTTTCAAGTAAGTTCTTTACTGACTGTCAAAGCAAAGTATACACAAAAACAGCATGACAGATCGTAATAGAAACACACCCAACCATACACAGACATTAATGCAGTTGGATGTACATTTTATGACTTACATTTGCTTAAGATAGCACAGAATAGAAATTCTCGAAAGAGTCTTAGAGGAGTAAAAACCTGCATGCATGTGTGAAAACTATTCATATTGGAGGTGTTACTTCAAGAAAACAAGAATGCCAGCAAAATAAAGACCCTGAAATACAACAGGAGACTCAACACAGTGGAAGGTAAAGAATCAGAATTCAGTGAAGCATCACAATACCTGTAGATTAAACACCACCATCACCACTGGACTTGATGAACATTTCTTCTGGATTTAACTATAAAACCACCAGAAGGATCTAAAGTCATTTTCTTCAGCAATAGCTGGGTCTGTTGGTAGACATGACTTACAGAAATGACCCATGTAAAAGCAGATGATGTAGTTACTCTTGAGCTGCCTCTGCTTGTAAGTACAGGGCAAGGTAAGAAGAAAACAGACTATAATGCCGATACTGGTACAGTTTTGTCATATGCTTCTGCAACCATAAACTTTTTGGATGCAGGATATCGTGGTAACTACATAAATAATTTTATTGCTGAGGAGGATATTAAGCCAAGTCTCATACTCAGGATCCTTACAATTATTGCAAAATTCAGATTATTTCTAGGTACTCAGGCCAGGGATATAGACTGCCAGGAAATCTGTCAAACACATCTTTCTGGTGACCTAGTGGCAGGCCTTTGCAATCTCAGCTTTTGACTCATCTTATTTTGTGCTGAATCCTATTTATCAATGTTCTACAATATGTGAATGACACCAGCCTGTATTAAGGGAAAAAACAAACAAACAAACAAGAAAACAGCAAGTAAGAAGAGAAAGACTACATAAAAGTGTGAAGTTTTATTTTATTTGACTTTTCAGAGCATCGGGAAAGTGATAAAGCATTAATACCAGAGAAGGCTGCAACTGCCCAGGGGTCAGTTCAGAAAAGAAACAGGAATGGATAATACCAAAGACCAAGGTGCTTTTGGCCAGCTTCAACCCTTTCTCAGCTCCCTGGCTTCTTTGCTGAAAAAGGTCACTCAACTCTGACAGCTCCAAGTACAGAAAATGTGATTTTCTGCATTCACTCTTAATGTTTGTGGTTTCTTCAGTTTTCACATTTTTGCATGCCTTTCATAAACTGGTAAAAACAAAAGAGATATCTACTGCTTTAAGAAGTCTCATAGTGACTGGGCATGGTGGCTCATGCCTATAATCCCAGCACTATGGGAAGCTAAGGCGGGCGGACCACCTGAGGTTGGGAGTTCAAGACCAGCCTGACCAACATGGAGGAACCTTGCCTCTACTAAAAATAGAAAAATTAGTGGGCATGGTGGTGCATGCCTGTAATCCCAGCTACTCGGGAGGCTGAGGCAGAAGAATTGCGTGAACCCGGGAGGCGGAGGTTGTGGTGAGCTGAGATCGCTCCATTGCACTCCAGCCTGGGCAACAAGAGCAAAACTCTGTCTCAAAAAGAAAAAAAGTCTCATAGTTTATATCTCCCTTTCTAGAAAACAATGCAACATTTATAAGTCAATTCAATCAGTAACTTCGAGACTATTTTAAGTCACTATTTCCTGATTTAGAGTAAAAAAATCACTGTGACATTTTATGGCCTGGGGGAAAAAGAAGTTACAATTATATTTGTATGAGACTATGCTAAAAATTATATGTGGTAAAAATATTTCAAATTGTTCTCCAAATTTTATTTTTAATCAAGAATATTTTGGAGAAAATTTTAAAATCTTAAATTTTTTCTCAAGGGTTCAAAATAACATATCTTTTTCTTTATTATTAACTTAATAGGAAACTTTGCTCTGAAAAATTGGGGAGGTACTCATGAATGTATGCCATGCTGATTTGGGTCATTCTTTCGTGGCGTTTTGTACATTTCAGGTCATTCGGTGTCTGTGGACTAAACCCTGTGGAGGAATGGCCTTGTGGAGTGGAGGTAACCCCGGCTCACTCAGCCAGGCTGGTGTTGGCTTCCACTGGGCTTCAAACCCTGTGTTTACTCTGTAGTCCCGCATTTGCTTTGCAACAGCCTGATCATCAAGGCAGAAAAAAAGAGAGTTGGAGCATGGCAGGGAGGATGCTATTGCTTCTTTTCTTTCTTTGAGTAACAAACATAAATAGAAGCAAGACAGGACTTCGATTTGATTCTTAAAGAAGGTTTTAGAATGTTTTGTTCTTGCACAACAAAGGCACAGAGACAAAAAGACTCCTACTTTGAAAGCAAAATTTATCTATCTAAAAAAAAAAGAAACAGATGAAAATCAATCATTTAAAAAGTTACTGAAACTTTAGTAAATTACCAATGGTTTTAGAAATGAGCAGATCACTGTTCCTGTGTGTTTGTATTTCACGTTCAAACATTTGCAAAAGAATAACACTACAAAATCCAATGTGGTTGAGTTTTAAAACCATGAGTCGAATTAAAGCGAGGAATATATAACCAAACAATGACATTTAGGAGGTCTGAAAAAAATAAGCAAACTACCTCATATGAGATTCTAGGATTTGCTACTGAACATGAATAGTTTCCAAGGTAGTCAACTTGTTTGACTGAACTTGATTGCATTTCTTTCTTTTTAAGCTGGCTCATACCTGTCCAGGCAAGGCCTTCATTTCTTAGAAACAGCATGCCATTGTCGTCAGATGTTTTAATTTTTCGTAGCTCATGTATCTTGTTGCCTCTCTAGTTGAGCTGGTCTATCTTCTTGGCTATTTCCTAAACCACAATGTACTACTGCTGTTCCTTCAGACCCTTTAATGAAAGCCCCAGAATTTGGTACTTACCAGCTTATAACCTTGCAGAAGTCACTTATGGCTGCTGAGTCTTAAACTCCTCATTTAGGAGAGGACAGTGCCTCCATCCACTCATTCCTTTAAAAATTATGAATGTCTCCTAGGTGTGGGGCATTGAGTGCACAAAAACAAAGACAAATCATACCTAGTTCTTGCTGTCATGGGTTTTGCTGTAATGGAGAGCCACCCACGTAAATGCCATAAATGTCCTGAAGTGTGATTAGTGCCTCATATGCCAGTGAGGGTGGGATGGTGTGATCAGGTCTACTTGGCGGTGAGAGGAGTGGGAAACATCAGCAAAGGTAAGAGAGGAGAGTAAGACCTGTTTGCGAAAGCACTTGGCTTGTAACAATAGCCAACAATCGGCATTTCCTGTGGGCTGGGTACTGGGCTGAGTGCTTGAGGACATTTCATGCCATCTCTTCAGTTCACCTCTTCGGTAGTTACTCTTATTATCTCCAAATTAGTAAGGAAATTGAGGCCTCTGGAGATGAAACACCTTGCTCAAGGATACACTCAAAATGACAATCTCAAGGTTCTACCCCAGGCAGTAGAACCCCAGAACCCTCGTGTTTAACCACTTAACCATGCAGCCAGCCCCTTTCCTCGCTTTGGTTGCAGAAGCACCAAGTATTTGTCTGCGTCCTCTATGCTGCAGCGGTGCTCACAGTTGTGGATGGTGTTGGGGTCAGGGCGAAGGCTCTGTGGGAAAACAGGACAGGTTGTGGGGGGCTGGGCGCAGACAGCTGAACAAAGCAGCTTTACCCATAAGGGATTACTCAAAACTAAAACAAAAACTAAAAAAAGATATAAGTTCAGTTCCTCATTTCGGTCTTTCTTCTCCAGATGATATTTCTTTTCTCACTTAGCTCAAACTAACTGAAAAATACATTGGTGATTCCCACCACCTTTAAACCCAAGATCAAAGGAACAGTAGGTCCCACAATAGACGCAAATGGACTCTCATTCTTGGGGGATTTAAAATAAACAGACAGGCAACAAACTTTCAACTATTGTTTAAATTCAGTCCAAAGGGATTTTCTAATCTAAAGAACTCCACTGTTTTATTTCAGGGTCAGAGCAAGTTCCCACTTAGTACACGGAAAGGTTTTCTATGAGGAATTTTAAAAAGACATATGCAAATACACTAGGGAGATTAATAGGACGGCATAGCTATGAGGCACACAAAACGAAATACTATGACGCATAATATATTTTAGTTTGATTTTTTAATGTTATATAAATGCTCTAATTAATATTAAAACAACAATTAATGGGAAACAGCCTTGTTGGGCTGATAAATGGAATAGAACCTTTTTCAAGGACATTTTTTTTCTGATTCCAAATGTAATGTAGTTGATTGTGGAAGACTGGAAATGGATGATAAATACACAAATAAATGGAAGTCATGCCTTTGACATTAGACCCTCTAAGCTCTCCTTACAGCTCTGTGAGCCTTCTGGAGGTACGCCCTGCCACTGTTGTGAGTCTCAGCACACTCTCACTTCTCTCTTCTCTTCACGTACACACATGCATGCACACACACACTGTCCAACTCGGTCCAGCCACCTCATGGCCTGTTCTCCCACCCAGCTCTCACCCCATCCCCCATACCAGCAACAACTGTGGGTGCCACTGCACTGTGGAGAAAGCTGACATGCACTGAGTGCTTCTGCTACCAAAGCAAAGAAAGCGCAAGGCAACTGGGTTTGGTAGCTAACCATCAGGATCCGGGGTTCTGTTGCCTGGGCTAGAATTTTGCCTGGCATATAGTAAACGATCAATAAATGCTTGCTATTGATATAACTAGAGTTAGTATATGCATTATTGTTTCACAAAATTGGGCTCAGAAATTGTATAGTTTTGTGTCCAATGGAACTGATAATACTAAAGAAGCATTAAAGTAAAATAATAAGGCAAGTTGTATTAATCTGGGTTCTTTGCATTGTAAGAGCCAGCAATCCAATTCAAACTACCTTAAGCACCAAGGGTTTGTTGCCTTATTGTATTTAAAGTCCAGGGAACATTCTCTTTTTTGCACAGCCGAATCCAAGTGTTCAAACAATGTTGTCATGTTCACTCTCTCTTCCTCTCATTTCTCAGCTCAGCTTGTTTCTGTGTCTTTTGTTTGCATGTTGGATTTATTCTCTCTTACTTCGCACAACCTCTCTCTACGTTGCTGAAAAGTCTTGGGTTGACATGATCGTTCATGATCCAAAAAGAGAAAAAATGGTCTTTTCTTCTGAATCTGACAGGTAAATAGCACAGAGTACTCTAACTCAGCTGGAGACAAATGTGCACAATCTCTGTGTTTCTGGTGTTGTTCCTCAGTTGGCCTGGATCTTTTAGCTTCCTGCAGTGTAAGACGGGGCTGCTCATGATCTTGGAAGGATCACAGCGACTTCCCCACCGTACAGGAACTTTCCAAAGGAACCCAAAAAGGGGAGTTAGTAACTGTGCTGGGTAAACACAAAGCTTTAGCAATCAGAGTTATCTTTCTTAGTTTTTAAAAAGATATCAAATCAACTTTGAATTAAGCCTCAGAATTGCTTCTCTGCCTTTTGGCTGAGCTCAAACAATTTTTTCTTGAGATGGAGTTTCTCTCTTGTTGCCAAGGCTGGAGTGCAATGGCATGATCTCAGCTCACTGCAACCTCTTCTTCCTGGGTTGAAGCCATTCTCCTGCCTCAGCCCCCCATGTAGCTGGGATTACAGGCATGCGCCACCACTTCTGGCTAATTTTGTATTTTTAGTAGAGATGGGGTTTCTCCATGTTAGTCAGGCTGGTCTATGAACTCCTGACCTCAGGTAATCCACCTGCCTCAGCTTCCCAAAGTGTTGGGATTATAGGCATGAGCCACTGGTGCCCGGCCTCAAGCATTTTTTTAAGCCTCAGAGAAAAATGGACCAATACAGTGGGGAAAAACAGCATAATTTTGCATGTACAGTATGTTTCTAACTGGAATATGCCTGATTTCTTATGAAGTATTGTATAGATATTTGATAGCACATTGAGTATTTTGAACTGAATTGATTAACTGATGAGATATATTATATCTTGAATATACATATTTTTCTTTCATCTCACATTCCAACTGGATATTCATTTTCGAACAGCACCCCTGCAAAGTCTAGGCAGCTATTTCCTCTCCTCATTCTTTTTTCTAGGTACACAGTCTCTCTATAAACCATGTAAAACAAATAATGCTAGCATTCTTTCTGTTTTACAGAATTAATTCTCACTATTGGAGAAACATTCCAATTAGGAGTTAAGATGAGAGACACCTGTTCCTCAGGCGCCTGCCAGCAGGGCTAAAAGTAATGCTTGTTGGATGGATTTTAAAAACACAGAGATAATGTCAAAAGCAACTACAGTGAGTGAAAATGGTTACTTTGAAAACTCAACCAGCTGCCGTGGCGTGTTCAGTTGATTGATTTCACTGTTTTTTAAACATGATATTTGATGTCAGCATAGCCAAATATATGATTTTTTTATTTCTTTCTGTATGTGACCATGTAAATCTAATATCACTAAATCTAATATCACTTCCACATGGGCTTAACCTGTAGTTCCTAAAGCTATTTCCCAGTCATGATACCAAGATTTATGCATAAGTATATCCAGTCTGAAGGTTACTGTGATCTCACTTGTTTCCAGGAAGTCCCTTCAGCACGGAGGGGTAAGGCCTACATTGCTCCACAGCCATGTGGGTTATGTTCCACTTTTAATCATTTGGATGGTTTCAAATATATTACCTCAGACCCTTTGACAGTCAGAACTGGCCACAGATGGGTCTGTTCAGTTGATCTTCATCATCTATACTTTTGCTGGAATTTTTTTCTCCATGTGTAGGGTTCCTTTCTTTGTGTCTTTTTCTTTCTTTCTAACAATTATTCTATCTTATTGCAGCCTCCTGCAATAAGAAGCCCTGATTTGATAAGTCATGTAACATGGCATGAAATCCAGGGTCCAGAGGAGAGCAAGGCACAGGTGGCCACCAACTGTGGCCTCAGACCCGTGCTCTTTCATCCTACCCAGGTGCTGCTCAGCCTGGTTCAATGCTTGGGTCACCTTCAATATGTCAAGGTGCCTCTCCCTACATAAAGATGCCTTTGCATTTTTGCAGTATGTCTCATGCTTTTCACTCTCAGCCCAGCCCCCCTGAGAACTGTGTTGCTGACTTGGACACTTATTATATCAAGTCACTCCATCCACCTGGTTTCTTACTGTCACAATAGTGGATCCAATCTCAGGTTTTTTTGGGAATGGAAGATAAACTTACAGTCATCTACATTCGTAGATGGTGTCTTCTTGCTGTGTCCTTGCATGGTGGAAGAGAAGACCAAGCTCCCTGGGGCTTCTTTTATGAGGGCACTAATCCCATCATTGAAGGCTTTGCCCTTATGATCTAGCTACCTTTCAAAGGCCCCATCTCTTAGTACCATCACCTTGGGGGTTAGCTTTCAGTATATGAATTTTGGGTAGACACCAGGATTCAGACCATAGTGTAGTCTCTAGCTATTTATGAATAATCTTCTTAGAGACAAGCATGAATAGAGGCCCAGTATTACTTCAGAGTACACAGACCATTAATATTCAGAGAAATAACT